ATATTTAACACTGATAATTACTGATGACATAAAATTAAAACACTGTTATTTCAGGAAATACATTAAGTGGAAATTGACAGAGGTCCTTTTTGTAGAGATCAGAGTTGACATAGAAACCAAGATTACAGATTCTAGAAGAATGGCAATTTAACACACCCCTCAGATAATTCCTTAAGTATTATTGAAAGTGGTTTCATAAATTAAGATTTGATGGTTCTACTTTTAGAAGACAAGCAGACTTAACCATAAGGCAAAAAGAGGTGCTTCTTTCTATGAGGAATAAGGTTCTTAGTGCCACAGGAGTTGGAAGACAAAAACATCTCCAATTTTCCTGTATCAGGAGTCTCCTCCAACTGTTCTGCACACATCCCTTCCAATAAAGTGTTCCATTAGCAGTCTCACTGCCATACTCCAGTCACATTTACTTATCACTGAATGACTGAATGAAAAATGCAGTGTACAGAATAAGTAGTACATGAGTCAAATGAAACACTGATAATTAGACTTATGTATCAATAATTTCACTGACATAACTGGTTGCTATGGGCTTTCAGAAAAATTAAAAATCTCTAAATTGTTCTTAGACGCTCTTCTCCCTTACAGGTCCTGATAACAATTTTTAACTGTACCACCGCTGCTGCAGCTTTAAAAACACAAGGAGAAGGAAAGAAAAAAAAAAAAAAACACTTTAGTAACCTTAACTAGGAAGTAGACATGGGTAATTTTTTGCTCTTTCTACCAACTGTTCTATTTTTAATCACCAGGAAGAGTCTCTGTGCTTCAGGCTCCAGATTAAATGCTGATACTGGTGGCACCATTAAGATAGAAAACAAGAACATATATATAACCCAGATGGAGAGGTTAAAATCCTCTGGACTCTCCTTCAGTGAAACTAAACCTATAAAACCTATGTTTTAATAGCTAATTTTCTGAGGATCACAGGATTTCTTTTTGCATATGCCCTTGATGGAATTAATGAGAGGAGGAGAGAAAAGCATATGTTTAAATGCCTTGGGGCAACTATAACAAAGGAAGAAATTACACTGTATTAATGCAATTCCACCACTCACAGCATATTGCTTGCTCTAACTATTGCAGAAGGAACATGCATTACACAATCAAATCTCTGTAACTAATGTGCTTATGGACTTGAAGAAGGTGACATTTACCAACTAAATACTGGTCAAAATAGGAGTTAACATTTAGACATCTGCTTTAAAGAGAAGCTTCTTTTCCACCCGCTTCTTTAGGCCACAAAGATACACTCTAGTTAACATATACTGACAGGATGATGAGAACACTCCTGTCAGACGCTGGCCAGCCGGGTGTTTGAGACAAAATGTACAGCCCCAGCTGACTAGTTAGAGAAAGTCTGGTGAGGTACAATTATAGAGGCATATGACAAGGCTTCATGCATGACTGATTTGAGGACCAATGACATGGCTTTAAACAGCAATCTTCTCTACCTCTGGTCACAAAACAGCAATAAGTCAACTGATACACTCTTGTAAAATCATGATTTATTCCTTTGCTTTGAATACATGAGACTCTGTTAGAATGTTCTGCTAGGCTACCCGAGGTTCACTTGGGGCTTAAACATCTAGAGCCTGCCTACAACATGCATAAAATCAATGTTCTTACTCAGGATTGCCAGAAAACCCTTCTGTGCATGCTTATTAATGTATAAATCATTAGAATAAAAGGGAAAGTGATTATGTTCAAATTCACTCAAATCAAATATATGAAAATATAATAGTAGATCCTAATATAATATCATATTTTAATATAAGTATGAAAACTTACTAAACAAAGCATAACAATATTGTTGATTTTTTTTGCTTACCTATCTCAAAACTAATTTTTCTTTCATTTTAACATTTATCTCTATGAAGATTACAAATTACAAATTAAAACAAAACACCTAAAGAATGGGATCTTTCTTTTAGATGATTCTCAGCTAACACTAAAACCCCAAGTAAGCTATAAGGTTGACAGATATTTTATTACAATTATTAGGAAATTTTGATTGTCAAAAAGTCAATGACCAAAGCAAATAAAATTCCTAAAGTTACAATGGAATTATAAATGTAATGATACCTTAACTTATGTGTGTTCTTTAAAGAATGTAGGCTGTAGATGTAAAGGAACAAAAAATGAGTAAAACAAAATTTCTTGCATTAATATTAAAAACATTTCACAAGTTTTGGTATGTAAAATAACATACAAATGTAAAAAACTTAAAAAAATAAATAAAGTTGTTTACTGAACTATTCCTTAATTACTCCTTCCTTGGAAGTTTCAAAGATTTCATTGAACTCTCTTTTAAATATAGTTTATTTCTAATTTACATTATGGTACTAGTCCTTGACCTTACATGTTACTATGCATGGAATTTATAACAGATATATTAATATAAAGTATTTTTTTAAGATAGATTCAAGTAAATCAGTTTTGCCCATATAAGAAGGGTAAGGAAATCATAAAGAGAATCTGAATTATGTTTCTTTTATCAGTTCTACTATCCCAAAGAAGGAACAAAAACAGAGTTGGTAACTTGGAGGTGACATCACCATTAAGCTGTCATTAATAGTCATAAACACTCACTATTACGTTGCCTTCAAAGACAGGAAACAGATCCCCGAAGAATATCAAGCCTTTACTATAACAATTTGTTTTTAAAATCAAATAAAGTTAACACAAAAGGATATTCATATTAATAAAGTTTTTAACTATAAAGCTAGGCTATCCAAATAATTTTATCTAATAATCATTGTACATTTATCTTTGCAGGCATAGTTCTAAGTACTTCACTGTGTGTATGTGTGTGTACACACTTTAATCTTCATAACAACCCTATGAGATTAAGACTACAATAACTCTAATTTTACACATGGAGAAACCAAGTTACAAGGAGGTTACTCAGCCATTAAGAGGTGGATATAAATCACAACAAAGAGAAATACCAACATTTTTGAAAAATATATATACTCAGACTTATTTCTATTGTTTTTATAAATAGAGCTGCTTGTATGTTCATTCATATAACTCACTCCCTCATTTCCTTCAGATGTCTGCTCAAATATCACCTTATTAGAGAGGTTTTCCAAGACCATTAATATAGATAAATAAAAACCTGCCCCTTACCTCCTATCACACACACATACTCAGTTTATTCTTCACTCTTGGCACTTATCATCATATGACATAATTGTTATTTATTTATTCATTTATTTATTGTCTGTTTCATCCCAACCGGATATAAGCTCCAAGAGGATTTGATTTTGCTTACTGCTGAACTCTTATTGCGGAGATAGTGCCTGGCACATAGTAGATGCCTGATAAATATTTTTATATGAATTAATCCTTTTAGGAATTGGTTCCTAGGCCTACATACGAGCTTGTACAAACTTTTTAATCTTGAGGAAATTATCCTCAAGGGATTGTTGTAATATCTTTCAAGTCTTATCCTTTATAATCTTGAGAAAAATCATGTTTAAAAAAAGAAAGAGAAGAAAGATGGTTTCACCTCAATGGTATGTTAAAAATATCAGAAAAGAAAAAACATGCAAGTATCAAATGTTTCAGACTAAATTTCTCAACATCGTTTAGAAACTGCAAATAACTATTGTGTCACTGACTAGTATTTATTCTCTGATGTTGACATCATTTCTCTATCCTATTCCTTTAAATGCATATGACTGTACTTTTTTCATTATGTGAAATATCATACATTCCTTTTTTTTTAAAGTGTGCATATCAGTATCACAATTCAAATATTTCCAAATATATATTTTTTGGTTGCTGTTGTTGTGTGCTGTCGAGTTGGCTCCGACTCATAGCGACCCCTCCTTGTGTTGCCGAGGCAGTATCACTACGGAAGTAGATTGCCCAACCTTCCTTCTGAGGAGTGGCTGGTGGGTTTGAACCCCCAGCCTTCTGGTTAGCAGTCAAATGCCTTAGGCACTAAATAGCCCTAGAATTAGAGCCAGGAGACCTGGTTTCATATTACCTGTCCCCAACAAGTTGTTTGGCCCTAGGGTAGCCATTCAACTTCTCTGAAAAAAGCTTTGTCGTTATTAAACACTAAAATATACTAGCAAAATTCTAACACTCCTTCCATCCTAAAATGTTATGATGAGGTTTTTACTTAAAAATATGATTTTATTTTAATAAATTAATCAAATTTGTAAAAAAAACAAAAAAAAAGCAAATTCACATAATACTAAACAATGACTTTTCACAACATACCTCCTAGATGACTCAAAACTATATTTAAATATATTAAAATTAGTATTAAAATATTACATTTTTAATTTTTATAAAGGCAGAAAAAAATGAGGAAACATAGCAAATACTTTTGAATGTTTTTTTATAACCCAAGAAAAATCCTCCTATTCTCATTGCTTTTACCATAGTAAGTAAAACCTTCCAAAAGAACATTTTAGTGAGTGGCATAAAACCTGTGATATGAAAAAAATAAAATAATAAAATGCTATTTTGACTTTTAAGTTATTATCAGTCTGAAGAGCTCCTCCAAATCACAACTATTATAGAATCTACTTCCAAACCACTACTCAGCAACAAAGATGAATCCACCTATTACCAGATTAGGATAGCTGCTATTATCATGGCCCCTTGATTTCTTTCAAGTAGTTCCAATGGAAAAAGCCACAAGTGAATAATAAAGATCTCATAATAGCTCTTAAGAATTCTTTATATGGTAGAAGGCACAAAAAATGAACTCCAGAGAGTTAAAAAAAAAACAACTCTCATCTCCTGATAAGAAAAAATAATTAACTTGACTTAATGCATCTGAGAAGGCCTTCTACAAATCAGACTTTTGTGCTTCAAGAGCCAGATTAAAACCATATATAAAAAAAAGTATGTAGATATTCTCTTATAAATACACATGGAACATTTCTAACCCTGCAGAGGTTTGTAGGTCTTTTTGTGAAATACTCAATACATTCTGCTTAAAAAGAGAAGTGTGAAGTACTCACAGTGCTTAATTTGCTGGAGGTAATAATGATGCGCCTTTCGTGAAGCATACTGGCATACAGGTGCAGCATATTGTTCACATCCACAGCAACAAAATATTCCGTGAGATTTCTCTGTACAAGTGAAAAATAATTGAGTAAATTATAGCTGGTGATTACACAGAGCAACATTTTATATATTTACAAATAACTTTAAACTTCAAAGTGTTTTATTATCAAAATGGTATTCATTAAAATATAATTAAATTTAATACTGTTCTGCCATCACATGAAGCACACAGCATTCTATTACTACTGAAACGTAACTCCAGAAAAATGTTTCTCAACCGAATGAGGGGAAGAAATATTTTCACTCCTCCCTCCCCCAAGTACTTTTTTCCTGGGCCCCAACCTGTTGCTGCTGTTGTGTACCATCAAGTGAATTCCAATTACAGCAACCCAACCCATGTGCCCCACAGGGTTTTCTAGGCTGTAAACTTTACAGAAGCAAACTGCCAGGTCTTTCTCCTTTGGGAGCCACTGGGTGGGTTCAAACTGCCAACCTTTTGGTTAGTAGATGAGCACTTAACTATATGCACCATCAGATCCCCAACTTAGACCTGTTAACTTATAATTTTTGGAGTATGACCTCAAGAAATATTTCTGGTGATTCTTATATACACTGCATTATGAGAACCACTGCTTCAGTGAATGCATTTGAGTCTTTTTATGCTTGTCATTCATTCACCAAGGACCTTTGCTGGCATAATGGTTAAGTGCTCAGCTACGAACCAAAAGTTGGCAGTTTGAACTCACTCAGTGATTCCAGGGAAAAAAAGACCTGGCGATCTGCTCCTGTAAAGATTACAGCCTAGAAAATTTAATGGGACAGTTCTACTCTGTCATTTTAGGTCACTATGAGTTGAAAATCAACTTGCCTACACCCAATACCATTCACTCAGTAGGCAATTATCACTGTCTGATATTATGTATTATGTATGGAACACCCAAAAGATGAGATGGATTTATAAAGAAATCCATTAGTTCCTCAGTAAGGGAAATATCTGGTTATATCCTATGTCAGGCCTGCTTCATAATACTATAAACAAATATACTTTACCAATGGCCTATTAGCACTTTAAATTATTTCCCACAAATAAGAACAAGTTTGGGATGAACTATATCAATTGCAAAAGACTCACATTCTCTCCTGTTTATTTCTTAATTTTAATATTCTGTACTTTAATTTAAACAACTGAAAGCAACAAAATAATGAAGTCTGAATAAGACAGAGTTATAAAGTAATATTGTAGTACCAGGTGGACTATGACCTGTAAGGCTAAAATTTTTCTTTGGGCAAGAAATCATACTATTTCTTTAACTTCCAAAAGACAGAAACTTCACCAATAAACTGGAAATCATAGTGGGCCCATCAAAAAGACTATCAGTGAGTGATATTGACTGTGGTGGAGAGAAGTTCATTTCCTGTTTTTTCTATATGAAGCCTAACACACTCTCAATTCAATTACAGATTTTGACATTAACATTTTTCCTCTGTCTCAAAGAAAGATAATTTCTAGGTGGTGAATTACTTCTGAAGACAGAATGCTGTCTTAATATTTATGATATATTGTACTTTTGTTTTTCTAAATAGAACTTTTTGTTCATGGACAACTTAAAAATAAAATATGGTAACAGATGTAAATATATGTATTCTCAGTAGCAGCTTGCCTTAGAATGTTCATTTCTTTAAAACTTTCAAAATAGTCTTTTTGAAAAATGTGTAATTTTTTAAACCATGCTATTAGTTGTTTGATAATAAATTTAAGAAAAGGCAAATAGGGACGAGTGTTCAAAGGGGTAACTCTGATTTTGTATTAGAATCTCGGATGAGAAGGAACCAGGTTCCCACAGTCAAGGCATAGTCAAGGAAAACAAAACGGGTACTTGGCCTACAACGTACAGGGCACAAGTCTTTACTATTAACTGTCCTGAGAGCTTTGATGGTCTATCTCAGGCTCACATTAAAGCAGCTGGATGCAAAGTCTTTCATAGGGGTTATCTGAATTCAGCAGTACTAAAAACAGCATTGAGTATTGGTTTGATATTTGAAAATTTACAACCATCTTTTTGGACTCAATTCATTTACTTACTATGTTACCCATGTGTTTCTAGAAATCAAACAAAACTTTGAAGACATTTTTTGAAGAACAGTAGAAATCTGAGGAAAATAATAAGTATATCTGGAAGTATTTTTTGTCTTTTGATTTTTCTTTATTTTTGATTAATTATATCTACTGACTCATTAAAGCTTTCCAAGGGAAGCTGAAGACAAATTAAATAAAGGAATATCTCCTTTTTTCCACAGAGTTTTCCAGAAGCATAAAAACATATTTGTCATTCCACTTATACATGTAAACTTTTATGCAGAGCATCAATTTTTAACAACTATTAAAACACAGAAAACACAGCTAGAAAGGCTTCAATTAGGACTCTTAAGTCAGTGCAAAATTTAGAAATTTTTATAATTTTTTGTAATATCCCTCAACTCTTATAAAACACTAATATTTTAAATTAAAATCAAATATAGGACATTTAAGGTTTGAACAGAGGTATATACAAAGAATATTAAATATTATTATCAGTACACTTAAGTAATTATATATGTTTATCTTAAGAGAATGCATTTTCTAATACCAATATTCATTCTCACCAATGGCAAGCATCTCCTGAGCTGTCTCCTCCACTTGATACAAGGCAGCTCAAGGTCTAATTAAACATCTGAGATCATTCCTCACTATCCCAAATGACAGAAACAGCTTTTCCCATATAATTTTCCTTATCTACAACCAGATATTAGGACAGGGGTAAAGCAGCATGTTATTGCTCCTTTATAACATAGATAATTACAACGTACCCTATTTTTCTACATAAAAATCCTTAAACAGTGAGAGCAAAATAAAACTTCATCTAGACATTCAGTTGCAAACCAGAAAACTTACACTTTCAGGTATTGTTGGTAGTCCAGTTACATCAGGGGCAATAAAGTAGGAATGCTAATCAACAGAAATAAATCATGTAAGAAAAGGAGAATTAAACATTTAGTATCATATAATATATAATTTGGAATGAAAAGAAAAAATATATCAACTAAATTAAGAAATGTCATAGGTTAATACTCAGGATTTGTTGAATCTGAATGATTCTTAAATGAGATTGCAGGCGCTCATGAGATTTAACAGTAACTTTCTCATACAAAGAGTTAAGTATACATTAAAATATTTAAATTTAAAACTAAACAGCAATATTTTAAGAAAAGAATCCTGGAAAACAATATTAAGGCAAAAAAAAAAAATGTATGTTATTGGACATTTAGGGAGAGAGAGCAAGAGAGAGAGCGAGAGAGAGAGAGAGAGACAGAGATCTGGGGGTATAGTGGTTAAAGCATTTGGTTCCCAACCAAAAGGTCAGTAGTTCAAACCTACCAGCTTCTCCCTGGAAGAAAGATGTGGCAGTCTGCTTACATAAACTAACTATTCAATTGTGTGGATCATAACAGATTGTGGGTAACATTGAGAAGAATGGGAACTCCAGAACACTTAATTGTACTCATGAGGAACCTGTACATAGACCAGGAAGGCTGTTGTTTGGACAGAATGAGGGGATACTGCAAGGTTTAAAATCAAGAAGGGAGTGTGTCAAGGTTGTATCCTTTCATCGTACTCATTCATCTGTATGCTGAGCAAATAATCTGAGAAGCTGGACTATATGAAGAAGAACATGGCATCAGGATTGGAGAAAGGATCATTAACATCCAATGATATGTAAAGAACACAACTTTGCTTGCTGAAAGTGAGGATGACTTGAGGCACTTACTGAAGAAGATTAAAAAATACAATCTGTAGTATGGATTACAACTCAATATAAAGAAAACAAAAATCCTCACAACTGGACTAATAAGCAGCATCACAATAAATGGAGAAAAGATTGAAGTTGTCGGAGACTTCACATTGCTTGGTTCAACACCAATGAAAACAGCAGTCAAGACAGCAACAGACGTATTGCATTGGGCAAATCTGCTGCAAAAGACTTCTTTCAAGTGCTAAAGAGCAAAGATATCTCCTTGAAGACTAAGATCTGCCTAACCCAAGCCATAGTATTTTCAATCACCTCATATGCATGTGAGAGCTGAACAATGAATAAGGAAGACTGAAGAATAATTGATGCCTTTGAGTTGCGGTGCTGACAAAGAATGCTGAAAATACCATGGACTCCCAGAAGAACTAACGGATTGTCCTGAAAGTACAGCCAGAATGTTCCTTGGAAGTGAGAATGACCATACTTCATCTCACCTCATTAGGTCATGCTGTTAGAAGGGACCATTCTCTGGAGAAGGATTTCATGCTTGGTAAAGTGGAGGGTCAATGAAAAAGGGGAAGGCTCTCAACTAGATGGATTGACACAGTGGCTGCAGCAAAGAGCTCAGGCATAGTAGTGATCATGAGGGTGCCACAGGACGTGCAGTGTTTCATTCTGTTGTGCATAAGGTCGCTATTAGTGGGAGACAACTCAACCGCACATAACAACAACAAGGAAAGATGTTACCTTGAGGACTAAAGTGCCCTGATCGTGGTATTTTCAATCACCTCATGTGCATGAGATAGCTGGACAATGAATAAGGTAAACTGAAGAAGAATTGAGCCATGTGAATTATGGCGTTGGTGTAGAATACTGTATATACCATGGGTTGTCATTATTGTCTTGAAAGAAGTACAACCAGAATGTTCCTTAGGAGCAAGGATGGTGAGACGAATGAGACTTTGTCTCATATATTTTGGCCATGATATCAGGAGGGACCCGGAGAAGGACATTGTGCTTGGTAAAGTAAAGGGTCAGAGAAAAACAGGAAGACCTTCAACGAGATGGACACAGTGGCTGCTACGATGGAGTCAAACCCAGCAATATTTGAGAGGAAGGAGCAGGACCAGGCAGTTTCATTCTGTTGTACAAAGGGTCTTTATGAGTTGGAACGGACTCAATAGCACCTAACAACAACTGTCCAAGGCAATACAACAGTTAAAAGAAATATCAATATAAAAGCTATATTGCATATACCTTCATGTTTTCTAAAATGTAACCAAATTTTACCACCCAAGAATCAGAGTACAAATAAATCACCAAAAAAATATTTTATTTTCTGTTCATATTTATCTCCAAAATTATTCTAGGGACATATCAAAAGATTAGAAAATAAACATTCTGGCCAATATTGAGTAAAGCTGAACTAGTCAGATCAGAACAAGGCTGGTTAACACAGTCCATAAGGTATAATTCTTCCAGGACTTCAGGAAAACAATGAGGTAAATCACAAGGTCTCTTAGGATCTTGTGAAAACAAAAAATGCAATAGGATTCTCATGCTGTGAATGTACTTCAATATCACTACAACTGAAAATGCAGAATATGCGTAGATTTAAATAGTTTTATTTTGCAGGGGTTTTTAATAGCACTTATATTTCATAACCATTATTTAAAAGATAGTATAAACAGAAAATATACTCCAAATGATTAAGTTGCTTAGAATAGCCAAATTTATCATTTTCCAAAGGATTGGAATGAATATTAAAGACAATGAAGGAAGTAATTATTTTCCCAATTTAACAGTGATTTTTTTTTTTGTTTTCTACACCAAGGCCCTTTTAACTCACCGGTACTAGGGAGGGCTGATCTCTCATCACTTGCTCACTGGAAATAAATATCTCTTGGTTCTTATAGTATATGAGAGAAAAAATGAATATTTTACTTTGGGGAAGCTTACACAATAGTTTGCTGTCTATTTGAGCCACATTTTCCACTGAAAATATTTCAATAATATTAACTATAAATGTTATTTTAAATGTTGATTTGCTAAATCTTATGCTAGAGAAATCTTAAAGAAAGTATTTTCATTCCATATGAATATAAAATGCTGTGAATGTTTATTTTGAAATACAATTTCAAAATAAGGGTCTACATTAGATATTAACTTTTCATATAGTCTTCTCTGACAGTTTAATGGCTATACTGTCAAGATCTGAAAAATTCATGTGGAGAGCACTAATGAAATATGAAGTTGAAAGAAAATCATAATACTCTCTCTTAGCACCTGCAACATTTTTCTACTGCATAAAAACAATTTTCTACCCATTTGCGGGGACAAATATTATTATAATTATCCATGCAATCTGGCATCATGAAACTAAAAACTCTACTCATAGTTGAAGACAAATGTTCCAATCCCAATTTTGCAACTCATTAATAGCATAGCACTGGGTATCTTTCTTTAGTAATTTATTACTGAAATCAAATAAAATTAAGAGAATTATAAACAAAAGTAAGACACTATATTATCAATCAGCTGATTTTTAAGACTATTTAATACTTTTGTAGTTTGAGAATAGGTTTACTATGTTTAAAAGCTATCATAGGCTACTGATTCAAAAAAGCCCAGAAGAGTGAAGCTTAATTATGGAATTATTATACATAGAAATAAAACACAGCCAAATTCCTCAAACAATATTATTTCAGCAATAATTTAAAATATTTTCTTCAAATATTTCTGGCATAAAATTTAGCAACTTAAATTCACTAACAACTACCACTTCAATAGCTCTTTGTATTACGTCTATACACACTGTGTACTGTATTCCTAAATAACTTTGGGATTCTCTCTAAAAGGTTGATTCATTCAATTCCTCAAATAGAAAAAAGGGATCACCAAAAAAAAAATTAAATTTCTTACCTAACATCACACAACTAGCGCCATGCCTCAAACCAAAATCTTCTAGTTCACTCTTCTCTCTACTTTACCAAGTTCACTCTTCTTTCTACTTTACCATGTTAATTTTCTGTGCACAGAGAACTTAGGTAAAGGTAGTCTAAAATTCTTTAATTTATGGTTGTTATTAAGAAACTTGGGAGCTCTGGTGGTGAACTTGAAGTGTTTCAGTCTCCAGTATTTTTCAAATGTATTTTGGTAAGATATTTATGTACTTCTAAGCAAAGGGATTCTCAAATGTAAAGAAAGACCACATTATTATTTCTCATGTATAGTTTACAATAGCTGTATCCATTGTTTTAGCACCTACACACTCCTTAACCCTTTAAGAAAATGTTGGAATCACTTTAGAAATAAAACTCAGAGAAAATGCCTTTTGGAAAAAAATAAGGGTTTTCTTCTTGACCCTTTTCCTTGGCCCTACACTACTTTTCCATTGACCATAAACCTATCATTTAGGCTTCCATGACCTACAAGTCTGAATTTCTCTGCAACTACTCCTCCTCTAATTCTTTCACTGGCTCACCTTTCTTCTTCTGTAAGGCCTCTTTCAGCAATTCAAAAGCTTATGTTCTTAGCCTTCTGCTCTATGTTCAATATACTTTATCCTTTGAAGACCTCCATTATTCCTACAACTAGATGACTTCCAAATTTGAGATGAAAATCCCAAGGGTGTCCTTAACTCTCCTTCCTCCAATCTCCAAATGACTCCTAAACATTTCCATTTTATCAATATGTACCTAATGAGGATAAAGACATAAGACAGTAGAGAAGTTCACAGTTTAAGCCATTACGACAAAAGGAGGTTTCACAGAAGTGTGAAGTGAGCTAGTTCTAGACTAAAGACAGATATCGCTCTAAGAGACGTGACCAGAATGGAGAATTAATTTAGGGAGGAAAAATGAGATAGAAAAATAAAAGTTAGATTAAGGTAAGAGGTAGATAGTCCTGAAAGCACAGTTAAAAGTTTGAACAAATTCTATAGTAAAGAGGGAGCCACAAAAGGTCTTCAACATAGAATTTTATAAAGGTTAAGGAAGGTTAATCTGACAGTCCTTTAAAGAGAGGGCTGAAGAAAGAGACTCTAGGCTAAAGGCAACTTGAAATGCTAAGGCCCTGAAAAGGGGTGCTGACAGTGAGAATTTAAAGAATGGGATGATATAAAAGAATACTACTATTCAATTACAGAGAAAAATTTAGGCAAGAAGTTATTACAGAAGAAAAACATAATCAGGATAACAATTACCTAGCAAAAACACAAAAAGCCATTAATAGTATTACATATATTTCAAGCTATTTTTTCTCCAAAGATCCCTTGTATATTTTTTTCTTCTTCATTGGAACAGAAGTTTATTATTCTTTTGGGGAACCAAAATCAATATGAATAAATTTTATCATTCTATTTGTATGCCAAATTATAAAGAATAATAATACAATATCTACCTTTTATGACCATGAGTCTTGAACATGCAAAACCCCAAAATACGCTAGTGTGTTTCTAGATATAGATGGCACAGTTCATTGAAAGTTTCAAAAGTATAATCTATCCTACTGCAGGTTTGCTGTTTTAACAAGTTTCAATCATATTTCCAGTGTTTTGTGATTATACTAAAAAATGTGTTGAATCACAGGGAAAGAACAAGAGACATTGCACTCAAAATTTTATCACACTGTTATATGCTACATGACATTTTCAATTCATAGGAAGCATTGTTTCAATTTTAGGGGGCTGTGCTTTATTATGTATTGATTTCAAAAATTAATGTCCCTGACAACCAAAATAGCCTCATAGATTTGATTATTTTCAACATATACTCAGGAAAAAAAAAAATTGTGTGATTTATAACAACTACCAAAATACACACCCGATATTCCAAGTTACGACAGTTAAATCATGTCAGAAAGTCTTAATATTATCACTTAGTAGTAACAGTAGTAGTAGCAGTGAAGTCTGAGATCAGGGGTAACTCAATATTGAGTTTCTTGAAGGTGTATGTATTCTTAAATGAGAAATTGTTACTACTCCATCAAAACAATTACCAAAGGAAAACTTACCACGTTCAAATTGACAGGAGTATTTGACTTTGGTACTGGATGGTCATACAGTGACTTGAGAGTTTCATTCAAATCACTTTCCTAGAGAAAAAAACAATATATTTTACAAATGATATCTATACCAAACAAATAAAATTAAAACTACTTGATATAATCTACTACTCTGTTGTCTCATATTAGACACGTTTTATTAAAACTGCTTTCCATAGAAAAAGTCCCAATTACTGTAATTAAAATATTTAAATGTAATACTGAAAACATACATCTCTTTATCCAGGAAGAATAATGCTTCTTTTTAATATGAATAATGTTTCTTTTTAATATGAATATACATTTGATGAAACTTTGTCATTTAAAAAATTATTTATCAAAAAATGTACTTAGTATAAAATATAAAGAGGTTATATATAGAAGGAAATCATTAAATCCAAGAAGAACAATGAGACTGAATAAAAATAGCAATTCAACTTTTCATCAGATCACAGAGTTTCCCCATTTTTCATCTCATTTTGACATGCCAAATTTAAATTTTAACTAATAGAAATAATTTCAGCACTTTTCTATACTATGATATGCCTATAATATGCAGTTTATTCTAGTTATTTCTTTTTTAAGTAGCTACTGGTCACTATTTGTGATAGTTGGAGCTGTGTGCCAACTTGGCTGGATCACAATTCTGTGTGGTTTAAGCAGTTGTGATGTGGGTTATTCCCATGATGGGATCGGATGTGTGTGTTTTGAGCAGTCAATCTGTTGAAAGGGAGTTTCCCTAGGGGTGTGGCCTGCTTCTAATAGATTTATGGACAGCCTGGGAAAAGAGACACTCTTCTGTGGATTGGGATCCTGTTGTGCTGCCTACAACTGTCCATGAGCAAACAATTCACCATTTGGCCTAGAGATCTTGGATCTGTAATTTATTGGAGTCAGCAGTTGGTATACTGCCTGCCAACTTTGAGCTCGTCAGCCCCTGCAGCTGCATGAGTCAGGAAAAGGCTCCAGCTTGATGTTTGAGCCAAAAACTTGGGATTTTCCAGCTTCTGTAAGTGTGTGAGTCATTTTCCTAAGACAAATTTCTCTTTCTCTATATTTATATATAAGCTTTAGTGGCTTTGCTTCTCTAGAGAACCCAGGCTAACACACTATTTCAACCCACAATAAATCTGATTAACTAAAATATGTAACAAATTTACATTATAGAATTTGCACAACAGTGTACCCTTGATGTGTGCACCTACTTCTGAATCACACAAATACAGTAATAAATACATAAAAGATAGTTTTATAAAGTTACTTTTAGTCTCCTTTTAAAGAAAAAGGCAATTGTTCAGAGAAAGTAATAATTTTAAAAGATTTGGATATGAAACACATGGTTTCTCCTGATTTCTTATATGATTTGTCTCTCTACCAATATCAAAACTTACTACAACATATCTTTAAATGCTTGCAAAATCACATACCCAAAACTGCCAATTTGAAATTTCCTTCAGAATCACCTTAAAGCGGGGGCAGGGGATATTAAATAAACAGTTTTTCTTTTGAACATTTAAACAATGAAATGTACCATATTGTATATGATATTTATCTTCTGTCTTCATGAAATTCATATAGCTATACAAATTTTAAGACTCACTTTTAAAAATTCTAGATTTGCTAAGGATTCTTATTCACAGTAAAAACTGCACAAAAAACCAAATACCCACTTCTGTCAAGTTGATTCCAATTCACAGTGACCCTAGAAGAGAGAGTAGAACTGCCCCATAGGGTTTCCAAGGCTGGAAGTCTTTACAGAAGTAGACTGTCTCATCTTTCTCCCCCAAAGCAGCTGGTAGGTTCAAACTGCTGACTTTCTGTTTAGCACCCAAGTGCTTTAACCGGTATACCACCAGAGCTCCAAAAAGTATAGTACATATTATGGTTGTTGTTGTTGTTATGTGCCGTCGAGTCAGCCCCAACTCATAGCGACCCCTCCTTGGGTTTCC